TCTCAGCCAACAGGGATGACAAACATGGTCTGTTGAAGTTGCCTGAAACAACCATACATCTTTGTCTTAATATAAATGTTTTGGCTAATTATTATTAAACCCGAGCAAACAGAAACACTTTTACAAAACAATATATAATTGCAGTGATAAATTCACAATTCACATTCACAAAATTACATTCAAATTCACAAAATAAAAAGGTAATTATTACCTGCCGTGGGGCAATTCTATTTTCAAGCTCAACATGTATTGCCTGTTGCAACTGTGATGGATTCTCTCTTATAACAAGGTCACGTTTACGATTACTCACAGAACTTCCACAAAGTATGCAAACATGCTTGTGGCCACGGGAAGATGAGGCACCAGGTTCATTAGATAACCCGGAGCTGACATGCTGTATTGCCAATTGCTGACAGGCATCACATACGTAATCTTCTTCAGTGATCTAATATAAGAATTAGAGTTGTATTATGATGATGTATTATGTTAGTGTAATAAAATAAGTAGGTATGTAAATACGTACTATTACTGAAGAATTCCACTCGCAGATCTTAGAAATTACTCTTGTATCAAGCTCAAAAACGAGATTGTGGCGAAGTTTATCAATGCATATGTTACAATTAACACAAAGCAATCGTACACCTAGTTGTCTTTGTTGTGTTTGCATGATGTTTCTCACAATTATCCAAGATGTAAAAAAAATCAGTCCGTAGAAAAATACCGAGGTCAAAACAACAGAAGGAAATAAGAAATAACAATTTAACAATAATACTGGCGCGAATCGATGATCACAGAGTAAGCGATGACAAATGACGTTCCGTTGTACATATGTAATTGAACAAAACGTTAAGCTTACTATGACCTACATAATTATTTTTATGACAAGAATCCAATACATAATAAATCAGCATAGTAGTTGATTTGATGTCTACATACTAATTGAATTGAATTAAAATTAACAACTATTTATAAAAACGTGAATAATTATAGTCTTTGAATACCAAGTCCTTTCACACACGAAATGAATTTGAAATAATTTTGAACAGTTACAAAAATAGAAATAAATGGATAACTTTTTTTTTGTGGCGACTTAGAAAGGTATTTCTAGTGTGTTTTAAGACCTTAAACAATAAAGGTATTTTACATAAATATTTCATATTGGGACGCTATCATTTCGTTGTCTGGTACGATTTGGCCATCCTCCTTTCAAACCGACAAAACAAACGATAGACAAATATAAAGGAACTTAAAAAATATAAATTGAAGAAAAACAAAGAAGAAGTTTTGGATACGATAAGAAGTTTATATGATGACTGTGAAGAGTAATGTTTTTATGTCATGTTTAATTTTACGTGTTAATTTGAAATAAATAAAAATGTACATGGCAATTTTGTAGTTTTTATTCCAAAACACGGCAACTTAAAATTTCGAAATGGCAACCCTGATCAGTATACGGTTTGCATCGCCCACCTCTACCTCTTAGTAGTCTGTGGTAACCATAGATTTAGAAGCGTAGTCCTAGGATTCCTAGGTCTATGGTGGTATCTTTGTATAAACTGAAATTTGAAAACACCGGTTTATTGATTTAAAAAAAAGAGACTTAAATTTAGCGGTGGGTTGTAGCGGCTTTTTTGAGTAACGAAACGAAACTATCTATCGAATATCAATAGCGGCTTTTGAAACACTCTATTTTAATAGAGGGTTTTGAAACACTCTATTTTTATAGCGGCTTCTATAGAGTGTTTCACGACGTGTTTAATTGATAAACGTTGCGAATGAAACGATGTCCGTTTCACGGGAAAACTTGTTTGTTACCGTTTCGTATAGAATTAGACATGGTGTTGATGGTTAAATTTATTTATTTGTTAAATCATTTCGCACGGTTTGATAAAAATATCACTTGAAAAGATTTAACGGCAAACGATTTATTTATTCATTATGATTATGATAAATTCACCCACAAGTTCAGCATAAAATACTGAATATAAGTTTGATTTTATAGCAAATAATTATCACATAAAGTTATATATTTTTGATAACTATCACATAACGTTTTAGTATTATTTTTACACTTAGTTACTTACACTAATTACTGTACAATTATTATTATTAACACTAATATATGCAATTGTATTTAGTTCTTATTTTACTAAAAATATTATTATTATTGCACAAAAAGAAAACAAAAATATTAACAAACGCGCCTAAAAAGTAAAAACAAACCGTGTCATTTAACTTAAACTCAAGACTAATTTAAACCGGGCCAAGGTCACTTAAATTATGGAATTTGAACTATTTTTTGTTAAAAACATGCACACTCACTTTCTCATTTCTAATATCGCACCTATACGAAGGGAATAGAGTCATAGGTCAAATGCAAAAGCACCCGCGCTCACTCGACATTCGGCGACCGGTGGTACTTCTACCACAGCGTAAAGAGTCGGTTTCTTTACCCATGTGCTTCTACTTCAACAGCCGAAGCCGTCGCCGATGCGTCGCGAAAATAGCCGAATAAACGTTTTGTAATTGTTACCTGATCGCTCGTTCGTGATTCGTGAAACGTGAATCGTGTTACTGAGTAAAACATCTACTCATAGATTACTGACTATGTACTAGAGATAGATGAGCAACTCAAATTTTATTTACGTTAAGTTCCGTGTCCATCGTCAGATGGCGTAAAATTAAGAGTGCTTTGAGCCCGCCCTTTATTTGCACTTTACAATTTTATATTTTTAGAACCATTAACCTCCTAAGACCCAGACTTAAAATAACAAGGAAGTCGTAAAAACCCACTGTACAAAATTATGCACAAATTAACTTTTTGCTGTCAGACCCAGAGTCATAAAACATCATAAATTTGAAGCTATGCCTATTAGGATTTCGAGAGCATATTTACCGTAATACTAGGTGTCTAAGGGACATTTTTGGCTAACTTACGTTGTTCTATCTTTTGTACAAAATATTGAACATTGGGTCACGCAACGTTGCAGAGAAAATAAAAAATGATAATTATAAATTTTAGGATTTATTAATGAAATTACAAAAAAAATATAAAAAGTAGGACAAAATCCTTCAGTCTAAAATTTTTAAACTTAGTTACATTCTCTTAAGGCATTTTAATTAGTTTTCATAATATCACAATTACAATATTTAATCATCTTTGGAAAAATTCTGACTCTTTAAGCAATAATAACAAAAATATTTTACTTATAACTAAAAAATGTTAATATTAGTGCAATATTTTAGGAACTTTAATTATACTTAACAAAAATTAGTTATACTACTCATGAAATGCTTTGTAACAATTACGAGTCGAAGTAAGGCAAAGAGCTACCAAGCAGGTACTGCATTTGGCGGTAGATCTTTTCTTGCATCCAGGCAAACGGCATCTGTTTGCTATGCCTTCAAAGACAGGCATGTGTAATGCTCCTTGCTGTCTACGAATCTTTGACGGAATAGGAACTATTGCTGGCCTTCCCCCTTTTTCGTACTTCTGGCTCTGAATTATCCTCCTCTTCTAATACATCTTCACAATAAGTGTTTTTTTCAATAATGTTTTCCGCTAACTGCATCTTCCATTGCCTCAAAGATTGTATTTTTTTCAGTGGAATTTGTTGTTTTAATTTGTCATTTCGGAATTGAATCCAAGCGTTTGATGTCGATAAATCCAACATGTGGGAAATGAAGCGAATGGTCCATTTTTTGATTCTGGATCGGGATGGACATACTGCCAACATACGGTCTGCTAAATCGACACCTCCCATATTACTGTTATACATTCTGACAACCAGTGGCCTTTCTACGTTTATATATTCTTTTTGACTTTTACACCATCGACGACACAGATCTTTCGGATCGCTGCCATATATTGTCGACATCAGAGTAACCGGCTTGTTGTCGCACCATTTGGTCACAGCCACTGTGTCATCACTGTTTACAAAAACAGACGTAGATCCTCTTCCACTACGTTTCATTTACTTGTCATCTGGCAAAACCTCGTTCAGAGCAGCAGGAATCCGGTTTTTCATTATAGTACCTGAGCATCTAAAGCCTCTTGTGAATAGTTCTTGAACTAATTTAAGAGAAGTAAAGTAACGGTCGAAATATAGCATATGCCCAGGAACTAACGTGCGCGTCATATGTAATACCGCACTTTCACCAAGACCAAACCCAGCTGCAGACTCTCTTGGGAAAGTTGTCGAACCTTGATAGAGAGTAAAGTCATATACCATGCCATTTGGGTTAGCGAGCACAAAGGCTTTTAGCCCCACCGGATTTGGCTTATTTGGGCAATACTGTCTAATACCACAGCTGCCTGAAAACGGAATTATCATTTCATCTATGGAAACGTGTTGGTGTCGTATTTGCTTGTAGCATCCTTGCAGTACTCTCTCGATCAAAGGTCTAACCTTCCACAATTTATCTTGGTTTCTTTGCTCTTGACTTACATCGGGATCAAATACAATCTTCAACGTAGTTCTCAAAAGAAAGTATCTATTACGTGGCGTACAGTCTGCTACTAAAGAAACTCGCCATTTATTTTCCCAGTACATTCTAATGTAAGGGTAATTTATGCACGACATCATCATAGTGATTCCAATAAATGTTTTACATTCCTTTTCATTAAAATATAGGGTTTTTCCAGTTCGGAATAAATAGTTTTGGTTAGTTTTACTCGTGATCAAAGCAATGAGGTCGTCATCAATGTACTGACTGAAATACTGTGAAGAATCATAATCGGTAGTATCTATCGGCAGGTATGATGGGGCAGAAAGTTGCGGAGGCGTAGGGGCAAACTCTTTAGTCTTCCATTCACGATCAAGGGATTCATTAGGTGCAACGGAATTATTTTCCTGTCTTACCCGACCGCGTCCTGGGCTTCTACATCCGCGACCTCTTCTTCCGCGAGAGCTAATATTTCTTCCCCGACTACAACTAAGTGACCCACGTGGACGACGTGTTCTGCTACGACTTGGAGCAGGAGAATCATATGGTATTACCTCGTTGTCATCTTCATCAACCGAGACTTCATCTTCACAGGAAGAACTTGAAGAACTGGATGATTCCTCTCGTTCATTATTAGGGCTGTACTTATCATCCGTCCCATTATCTTCAAAAGGATCCTCTTCCGAGTTTGACTCATATTCTGAGTCATTGAGACTCTGAAGAATGTCATTTTCAGTAAGATCTAAAAGTAGAAACAAAAATATTCAATTATAAACAGAGACCGAACGTTTGATACTGCAAACCAATGTACAAAAAATTGCACAAAATAATTGATGACTTTGTAAATCAGCTACATCTAACACTGTCACGAAAATTATTAATAATGTGTACTATTTATACCTTTAAGTTTATAATAACATCAACAGTTACGTGGGAAAAGTATTGATTAAATTATTATTTTCAGATTAAACTTACTTTTAGCACGAGGCAGCGGCATGTTTCCACGTTCGTCGCAGCTGGCTTTGACATGACACCTTTTTTTTGGTTGGCGGCATTGATAACATAGACAATATAGACTAATCAAGTAATTTTGACATGTGAAACTAGTCGCGGGAAGATTTGAAAAAAATTAGAAGAGCTTAAAGAATATGTACAAAAAACTGTACAGTGGGCGGTCAGTACTATAAATTTTATTACAAAGCTGGGTCTGATAAAGGTATTTTATTTTGTCTTTTATTTTGTACGCGGGGTCTTAGGAGGTTAATTACATTGCACAAGTGCTGCAATGTAATTAATGGTTCTTTATATTTCTTGTGCTAATTGCTAGTTCCTATTAATAAAATAAAAACCGGATATATTTAAAATGTTTATTGTTTAAAAATTCTTTGCGTAAATTATTAACATTAGATGTGTTAAATTTAACAATATTTGCACAATATTAATTGATTTCTTTAAATACATTCTTTTTAACTGGTTAGTTAAGTTAGGAAATATATTATGTTACAGAGAATACAATACAATACAATTATTATTATTAAATATAGACTATTACATAATACTTATTGAAAGTCATGTTTTATTTACTACAGATTCCTCTGTCCTGGGAAGAACCAACAAGAAACCCAGCGGGACGTTTTTTAAAACATATTTCACTTTACCATAATTTTGTTTATACATTTTTTAAATAAATTTTAATAGTACAAGCATGGTGGCGATCACCTCAATCCCAGGGGTTATTATTGATGTATTTTTTGATATTATAATAACACTTTTTGTACATTTTTCCTTAAATAAAACATTTCAACTTATTTATTGACAAATTTTGTACATTTTCTGAAATTTTGTTTTAAAAGCGTATATGTTGCCCATAAAAGCACTACTGACTCAGTGGAGTCTAGTAACTGGTGTTACAAGCTTATGTTTGGTCCTAGTTTTTAAAGTATAAACATCTTTATTCTTATGAAAGCTATTTTTGTTTTTATGTACATACATTATTGTATATATATATATATATATATATATATATATATATATATATATATATATATATATATATAATATACAGAGTGAATTTGAAGTTATCACATTAAATGAAAAGACATATTCTACATAACGTTCTTTTCACATAGATAACTAAAAGAAATGTAAAAATTAACATCCTAGTCCCAGTAGCCTCTTTTTTCGATTTAATATTAAACAACATCATGTAAATGCATATATTTATCACCTGACGAACACTAAAGGGTCAAAGACCCAAGGCCAGCAAAGGCGGAGATACCTAGTTCAAACGTTGCCATTCCGAATTACAAAAATAAAGGAAAAATCAAGCAAAATATATACTTAAAACTAACGATATAAGGCATAATTCTTATGCACGAAATTGAAAATAAAGGGACCGCGTGATGCGAGTGTGTGAAAACAAATTCCAAGGAAAAATATTTACTTATAATAGATGTCCGAAGGCATAATTCGCTATGTGTGAAGTAATAAGAAATGGAAGGGAGTGGTGTGAAGATGCGTGTTGTTTATATTCGAATTTCTCTGCCGCATGGGACGATGATTTAAGTCACTTAGTCCGACGCTGGTACCCTTGGATGGTTCATGAGTCACTTGACCTAATTTTCGCGTAGGCGTCCTTTGAGTTTTAATTGTGGTTTTTTAGTTTTGTGGACATTTTGATAAGTTTTTTGATTTGTTTGTTATAGGACACTTTAATAGGATAATAATAGTTGTGATAAGGTGGTGTGACTGTTAGTGCGAAATTGGACGCTTACTTTTACAGTTTTATATTTTTTATTTGTAATAGGACACGTATAATACGCTGGATAAAAACATATTTAATAACTTAGTGAAGTGGTGTAACAGCTCGCTTAAAATTGTACGCTTTTTCTTTTCAACGTTTTAACTTTTATAAGTTTTAAGATGCCTCGTGTCAATTTCACGACGTCGGAATACGCCGACATGATTTTGATTTACGGAGAGTGCCACCAAAACGCGGCTTTGGCATTACGAACATATCGAGAGAGGTATCATACCACACGTGTATGTCCTACAGACTCACGTATTTTTATACGGGAAGTCCAAAGGTTACGCGACGGTAAATATTTGATCCGGTTATGGTATCAGCTTGACGGAGCACCTGCTCATTCAGTGGTGGCTGCCAGACAGCGCCTCACTGAAATGTTCGGAGAGCAGTGGATTGGCCGATACGGACCTTCTCGGTGGCCAGCAAGGTCACCGGATCTAACATCGTTAGATCTTTTCTTATGGGGTTATTTGAAAAATGAGGTGTACTCCACGGAAATAACGACTGTCGAGGACATAAAAATAAGGATTATTCGGGCTTTCGACAAAATAAAAAATTTTGCCGCCAATGGTGACCTTCTTCGCAAGGTCCGAAATAATATCGTGCGACGATGTCAGTTATGCATTCGGGCACACGGCGGACATTTATTATTGGATTTTCAATCTAAAAGTTTAATTTAATTTATTTATTAAACTATAGTGACCGATAAGAGTGATTATTTGGATAAAAACAATACCATAAAGTCTGTGATTTGTTTATAACATCTCATGAGCATCGTCTTACACGTGCCTAGTTGCCTATGTATGGGCAAGTGTAGGTAACCTTTGTCAATGCCGCCGTGTCGCCGCGATGTTGCCGCTTATACATATATTATCTAATATATATATACTAATATTATCCAGGATGATTTATTTCGTGTAATTTTTTACGCTATTTATTTTGTTTGAAAGATGCACTTTTTGTCTTTTGGTATTATGGTTTCTTAACTTAACTGCTGTGCTATAAAATGCGATAACCTAATCGCCACCCAGTAATTTATATATATAAATATATATATATATATATATATATATAATGTATGTACAATAATACATACATTATAACTATGCCAAAGTTAATATATTTAGTTCTTTAAAATTTTCTCTACGCGACTCTTTACAATTTAAGATATAAATTGAACGTACGGCTCTCTTTTATAAAACAAATATGGCTTCAATGTCAGTGGCATGACTAGCAGTAATACCAAGAAAAACTGTGGTATCCACAAGACTCAACTACTTCCCATTTAAGAGCACATTGATAATTGAATCCTGTGAAAGGTTTGCTTCTTTTCCGTAATTTCAAAAATTAGTATCAATTAATTGTTAATAGTGGTACATCTTTAACTTAATATAAAAAGATACATTTTGTAGCAGCATTATTAATCTTTAAAATATGTACTTGATAACGTTATCATATTTTGGTAACATAACTTTTTTTTAAATGTGTGTAATAACTATACTTTTAAAAATACAAACAATTTACAAAAGTGACTTTCTTATGCCCACTATACCATTGTAAATGTGTAAGTAAATCAATATATTTTTTTACAAAATCAGCATTTTATATATGTATTATAACATACTCATACATAATACAACCTCGCAAACCTTAATCACAAAGTTAATAAAACATCCAACACACCCTTAAAATAAAACAACAATATAATGACAATTACAACAAATTATTTAAATTCTGTGGTATCCTGCCAATCGAAGAAAAATTAAAACTTACTTTACTTGTAAAACAGTTCTTTAATACAAAATTACAAGTCATACCGACGTACAAACACCAGCTTAGAAGTATATATAACATAACCTAAAAACATAACAACATAACCTAAAAACAACAGCCTGAAACCTTTCCACGTACAAGAAGGGACACTAAGACTTAAGTGTTTGCAACACGTGTTAGATCCCGCGGGCTCTAACTTACTGAGTCTGTGCCATAAAAAGTATCTTGTGCCTTCCACGCGACCCGCACTGCTGCATAGATTTTTAGCGGTGTCTGTTCTAGTACATATTACCGAGTATTATTGCAATTTTATGTCAAGAAATTAACATCAGACCTGGTTTGGTCTTTCAACCACATAAACCCTAGGAAGATTCAGGTGTAAGTGTGGGCGTGCTTGACTGTGTTATGTTGTGATTGTGTTAAATTATGTAACCTGACTTCCCACTGGTTGCAGAACCGCCGATCCCAAGGCTTCACCTTTATTCTTTATATCGAAGTGGCAGTCCGTCACAAAAATTTAAGAATCTAGGAAATTACACTCGTTTCTCACTTGTTAATTGGAGTCAAGTCAATTGTCATTAGGTTAATCCAATAAAATCCAACAAGATTTAACCGAACTCGCGTTACAACAAACTCGACCTTTGTGAAAAATGCAATATCACCGGGCCGCGCTGCAAACTACTCAGGTTCGCGAAGTATATACGTCAAGGCAGAGGTGCGAAAAAGCGATTAACACGACGCGCAACTACTCAGTTCCACACTCTGCGGCAAGTGGCCCAAAACGCTGACGCCGGCGCGGCCGGACGCCGCACCAGCCCGCACCCCCCGCGCCTCAGCCGTCAGGCTCACCTCCCGCTCGACCCGAGCGCCGAAGCAGGCCGCCAAACGTTAAATTAGGCCTAAACAAGCCCCCCGTCCCGGACATGAGGATCTAGGTCCGCGAGTAAATTGGCAAGCGGGATAGGGTAGAGACGGCACGTTGCAAAACCGAATCTCCAACCAAAACCTCGGCCACCCTAGGGATCCCATCCGGTCCATACGACAACTTGACAATGCGCCCACGGCGCCAATACAAGGGCGAGGCGTTAGGTTCTTTAACTAACACGAGGTCTCCAACCCGAGGGGGGGTCCGTCTTGTCAGACCACTTAACGCGCTGCTGCAAAAGATGTAGGTACTCCAGAGACCATCGGTGCCAAAAACTCTGAGTTATTTGTTGCAGCATGTCAAATCTGCTCAACCGCGAAGAGATTATTTCCCGGAAGGGGTACTCGGGCAGGGCGTTAAGCGGCTGGCCTATCAGGAAGTGGCCAGGGGTTAGAACCTCTAAATCATTCGGATCGGACGAGAGAGGACAGAGGGGCCGAGAGTTGAGGACTGCTTCAATTTTACAGAATACAGTGGCAAGCTCTTCAAATGT